TTTTTCTAAAACACATTTTAAATTATTGTTCCTCAAAAGCTTGATCGAATCAAAATAAAAACAAAACAAACAAAAAAAAACTTTGCTTAAATTCACTTTAAAGCTTATATGATTGCTGTAGGGGATTTTTGAATTTTGTGAAAAAGGGTTAATGTGCAAAATGGGAGATGGAAACGATTTCCGAATCAGCTCTGATGTAGCAAACTTTTACTCACCTGACTGATTCTGCAGTCGCCATCTTCCTGGATGTTCCTATTATGCACGTAAACATGGCTGGACGCAGCATCACCATTACTAATTAAAATGTTAACATAAGAACGTCCCTGAGTGCAAAACATTCATCAAAACTTTCCTCCATTACTGATCTGTAGTCAGTGGTAGATTACAGCTTCTACTTCCTGTTTATTGCAGCCATGCTTGATGATGCAATATGAACAATGACGTAGGACGACACAATGCTTTGATGCTTTTGGTTAATTCCACAAACGCCACAAATCTTAACTCTTAACATTAGAAATTTGTTTTAAATTCATTTTAGCTTCAGTGACAGCCCACCTTTATTCCAGACGGTTTCTTGGTCCACCCTTTCTAGCTAAAAAGGCTTTAACTCTTCTATGAAGGCTATCATTAGGCTTTTTTATAAAAAAATATTTTTTTACATTCATCCAGAAACACATTTGTGAGGTCATGATGCTGGACAGGAAAGCCAGACCCTGCCTCTCCACAAATAAAAAATAAACTGGACGGAATAAAACATTGGCTCTTAATGTTAGCCCAGATATGCTTAACAGAAAAAGATCAACGTTAGTCCATTTTGGTGTTAATGTAGATTTATTTTGCACTGTGCAGGATTGTTAGATCAACAAAATGACATTCTCAGTCTGTCTTCAAGTACTGCAATCTGATTCTTGATTCGTCCTGCATTGCAGCACGACATGTTTTAGTTTTTCTGCTTTCATCTAGGGTTATAAGATTTTTTATTAAGAGTTTTTATTATAGACAAATTTTTTTATTGCACAAATTAAACGTACCTACTGGATGTTGTGTTCAGCTTATCTTAAGATTTTCAACCTGTAGATGGGTGAAAAGGTGCATTTTAAAAGCCAGCATCAATGATCAAAACTGTTTTTATTTCTCCTTAAACTCTAACACTTTTTTTTCTGACCCACTCATTGTCTCCGCAGTTCGAGTTTTCTCCTCAAACTCTCTGTTGCTACGGAAAGCAGCTCTGCACCATACCCACCGGAGGAACTTACTACAGCTACCAAAACAGGTATGTTTGCTTTTTCAAAATAATTGAGTGTTAAATTTATTTAAGAAGTTTGAAAAATCCTCATCTGCTTCCTCTGTTGTTTGAGATAAAAACGGATGTGTCTGAACAGTGCTGCTCTCCTCTCAGCTGGGAGGCTGCTCTGATCCAAATACTACCATTACTGCTCACAAGTTAAGCTTCCCTCCTCTGAAGCAGCGTTCCACCATAAAATGTTTATTACATTAACTGCTCATTTTCCAAAATTATGAAGAAAGGCAAATTATTTCATTCATTAATTGAAAGCGACAAGGCAGAAGATCTGAGATTTTTTTGCTGAGCTTCCCTCTTGTAATAATCAAAATAATTTAGTTTGAAGCCACAAACAGCTTGGTCCATCATTACCTGCTGCCTAGCAGCTGAAATGTCACATCTTAGTGCCCACATTTTGGGTTTTTTCCTCCCCCTGCTGTATGATTAGTGCCACTGCAACTCTATTCCCCCCTCACTTACACAAGACACTTGAAGTGTGCAGCAGCATTAGAGAGACAGCATCAGACTCTGGCAGCACAGCTCATTTACACTCTCAATGGGAGCTCTAGGATTCCCTGCTGCCTGTTAGAAAACATAAAAACATGCTGTAGTTTGTGCACAGCTCTGCTGGAGAGACACAAATAAGTGGCATAACATCACATCTGAGTTTAAAGCGTCATGTTCCTCATGGCTTCATTTGAGTTAAACTACAGTGATTGAATTTATTTTTGTTTTTTTGGTTTTTTCAGGTATCATTTCTGTGAAAAGTGCTTCAATGAGATTCAGGGAGACAGCGTGACGTTAGGAGATGATCCTGCACAGCCTCAGACGTAAGTAAAGCGTTGGGTACGGCTAGATTAATTCAGACAGCCACTTCCACAGAATAGCAGCCATGTTTGTGAGCTCGCATTGGATCAGATGTTTTTATTAATAAAGCGCTGTTAGAATCTTATTGCCAAGAGTTCATGTTTTTTTTTTTACTTTTTTTTAATGCAATTTCCAACCATTTTCGAAACATGTAAAATCTGTTAAACTCATGGTTTTTATTTTTTTATTGTCAAACCTAACTATAGCATTTTTTTTTTTTCTTTCTCGTTTATCTCATTGTTCCAGAATGATATCTAAAGACCAATTTGAACGCAAGAAGAATGACGTTCTGGACCCTGAACCGTAAGTAGATGAAATACTATTAAAGCTATTTTTTCCCCAGCAATCATTTCCTTAAGTTACTGTCTTTCCAATGGGGCGCTTTTCTTAGGGGGATTCCCTACACATCTGCTTTGGATTTAACTCATTTAAACTCAACTTTCCTTTTATGCTCATCCAGACTTTTTTTTTTTTTTGTCTTTTAGCTCTTGGTCATTTTGTTCCTTTTGTGGATTGTTTATTTTTTTTTTTTTTTTTTTTTGAAACCCTTGTTGAGTTTATCAGAGCCTCCTGGTTGTTTCACTACCTCTGTTTTACATAATTTAAATAATTAGAAAAACAAATGAAAATTACTTGAAATACTTCTTGGTAAACTTCTTTCTAAAGGGAAGTAATTGGTTATGCCAGAATAAATTTAAAGGTTCAGCTTTTCCCCATAAAGTGGCCTACAAAATGAGGCTTCTGAAATGTTTTAGTAATATTATTAACTAGTTGCTTAATCACAGAGAACTGAACTTGATTTTTGTTGTTTAAACTTAACCATAAAAGTTTGTTTTAATCATTTATAAATGAAACTCTAGGCCGATGATGCAAAGTTTGAGTCCTATGCTAAAGGGCAGCAGCTTAGGTAGACTTTAATAAACGAGTAAATAGTAGAGAAGTTATTTTTGTAAAAAGATGTTGGTCTTAAAGGTAAAACCAAAGGTGTATTTATATGACTATCCCCCAGTCTCCATGATTATCCCAGTACACACAGCAAGCAAGTTTGGACACTCCATCTCTCTTGTTTTTTATTACTACTAATTGGAAGTGCTGAAAAACTTGGAGGAAGGTCATTTTAGAAAACATGAAAGATATAAGGACTCATAGTCTTGATTTTTTTCACTTTTTATCTACTATGTAAAAAGTGTGTGTTAATGGTATTGAGTGGTAGTGAACCATAGGCAGGAGGAGCAGTTAAAATCCATCCAACTCCTCAAATCTATGATCAAAGTATGAACCTAACTGAACAATGCCTTAATGTAATGTTCTACCAATAGTTATATTTCCTGCAAACGCTGGTGCTGCACTGACATGCTTTGTGCATGTCCGTCTTTCTTCTTCTTGGGCTGTTTTTCCATCCTTGTGTCCTGTGCGGATAAAACGATCCAGACTGTTTAGGTAGATACCGTCCCCCCAGTTTCAGGCTCACTCCTCCAGTTGGAGTGTTGCTTCAGTCTGGGAACACAGATCCCTGCCCAACGCAACAGCAGAGTGCAGACTGAAGTATAGAACCATAAAACTGGATCAAAATGGCTTTGATCTCAGCTTTTTGTTCAAAGAGTCTGCGATTAAAAAGCCGAGCTGAATTATAATAGATTTTCACAGAGCTACTCATGCATGGGAAGAGCTACTAGTCACAAAGTTGCAAAACTTGAATTTTAGTGATTAAACCATAACTGATGATTCTGTCACAGCAACTTCTCACTTTAAAGCTAATATAAATGTTAAACTGAAGCAGACTGACATGGATTTAGCCAACATAGACATCTTCTTCAGGGACTCTGCTTCCTACAGGCTTAAAGTCCGCTGATGATCCGTAATCCTTTGGATTTTAAATTGTGTCTTTACATATATTTCGCTATAAATCAACTAAAGCACAAGTTTCAACTGGTAGATGACTAAAACAGGAAGATATTGACAGTTTAGCATCACCGCTCCATTGAATTGATCCTATTAAACTTTTAAACTTTCTATTTGAGCCATTTTCCTGAACTGGAAGCTTTTTTCTCCGTTTATGAACAGGGATGTTTGTTTGTTAGACTAAACTAAATTGTATGTCCAACTCCTTTTTTCTTAGAATTTCTTTTTTTATCAGTAAAAATATATAAAGCTGATGCTATAAAGAATCTCTTTAAAGCATCAGCTATAATTTATTTTATAAAACATCTGTTTTAAAGGATAAAAACATTAGGACTAATTTTGTTGACAAACTGAGTGTTTGGAGATTTTAGAATGCTGCAGGGGGAAGATCCATTTTAAATGACTTGATGCTGGGCTGGTTCCCATGCTGTGGAAAAACAATCATACCAAAATCATTTCTGGTTAAGCACTGACTCTGGAGCCAGTTCGCCTTTAGAAGTGATTTATTTTTATTTTTAAACAAATAATTAAATGTAAACCCTTTGATAGAAATATGCTGAGTTTATTCCATACTTAAATATATTTTCTTCTCATCATCTCTCTTTGCCATCCAGGTTTGTTGAATGTAAAGACTGTGGACGCAAGATGCACCAGATCTGCGTTTTACACTACGAGGTCATATGGCCTTCAGGGTGAGATATTCTCTTACGGCTATTTTAAACGTTGTATTTCCACCTCTTCTTTGTATTGTGTTAACAAATCTTCCTTTCTGTGCCTTGATCTGTTCAGATTCATCTGTGACAACTGTTTGAAGAAAGGAGGAAAATCACGGAAGGAGAACAAGTTCACTGCTAAAAGTCAGTGCTCCCAAATCGCTCCAATTTGACCAGTTTTTGTGAAGATTTTTCAGATATATAATCTAAAAAATTGTAATTGTCATTTGCTCCGTATCCAACATCAGTGTTATTAAATAACACCTGCTTTAAAAGCCTTGATTAAAACTCCTTCAGCTGTTGGTTGTAAAATGATGCTCAGATGTGCTTCTTCCCTTTAGGGTTGCAATCGACACGACTGGGAATGTACATAGAGGACCGTGTGAATAAATACTTGAAGAGACAGAACCATCCAGAGGCCGGGGAAGTGTTTGTGCGAGTGGTAGCAAGCTCTGACAAAACAGTCGAAGTTAAACCCGGCATGAAAGCCAGGTAGGCTAACAGCAGCTCCTTTTGTCTTTCCCTAACAAAAAAAAATACAACTGTCATAGTAATTATTGTTTGTGATTAGGCTACATAACGTAGGGCATATTTCTACTGGTGAAATAAAAAAATAAACATACAAATATAGATACTATTTCCCCTTTATGCCAACAACCCAAAAGAAAAACTTTTGCTGATATTTTACCTGTAATGTATTCTCCGTGCAGGACTTCAGTATCGATAATGTACGTTTGAATAACTTTTCTACTTTGTTTGTTTTTTCCTTTCATGACAACAGGTTTGTGGACACGGGTGAGATGCCCGACACCTTCCCCTACAGAACCAAAGCACTTTTTGCATTTGAGGAGATTGATGGTGTGGATGTTTGCTTCTTTGGCATGCACGTGCAGGAGTATGGCTCCGAATGCCCATTTCCTAACACTAGGTTGGTGCGGTCATCTCAATTACAATAACGTTGAATACTTAATGTGTTTTTCATTTAAAAAAAAAGTGAAATGTACATGGATCGGTTACATGCAAAAGGTGTATATATATGACGTATATAAATATTCTGTCCTACACAGACAGGATGAATGTTTGCTATGATAACGGTGCCCGACATCATCCACTAGGCTAACCTACAAAAGCTCAATGTGAAAGAAGTTAATCAGAGCCTATTAAGGGGGAGTTGAGTCAAAGTAAAAATTAGTTTTTGAAGGATGTAAACGAGCAAGGTGAACTTCAGCCTTTAGAGGATTGTGGGGCAATCTTGGAAGAATTTTGAGTTGCATTTGCAAAACCCAGACAGCAGCTGGTGTCTGGCCTTTATAGGCCTAGACACACTCGCCAGGACATGCTGTGTTCATTGTGTCAAGTCGCACCTTATCTAGAGACATGAAAAGCATTTTTTGAGGATTATGGAGAAAAGAAAAATGGTACTTAGTGGTCCAACAAACCTGTTTTGAAATAAAGGTTTATTTTCATTTTGAAATGAATGCCCCAGTGACTGAAGGAAGAGTGGATACTCTAAATCTTTTTCAGAGTCTCTGCGGTGGTTATAGCATCTCATTTTTGTTGTGATGCCCTGCAATATGGCCTAATGTTGATCTTTTTCTGATAAGTATATCTGGGCTGACATTAAGAGCCAATGTTTATTCCATCCAGTTTATTTTTTATTTGTGGAGAGGCTCAACTAATCAGAGAAATTGAATGTTTGATATTTTTTTCTGTTCGATTTTGAAACTGTTATACACTTTAAATGATATTGTAATTTCAGATGCACCTCGATATACATGTAAAATAAACAATAACTTTTCTCTCCAACTTTGCAGGCGGGTCTACATATCATACCTTGACAGTATTCACTTCTTCAGACCTAGAATGCTGCGAACGGCAGTGTACCATGAGATTCTTATTGGCTATCTTGAGTATGTCAAAAAACTTGGGTAAGTCCTAAAGTTATTATATATAATATTTTAAATAATCTTTCAAACCTAGGCTACTCAGCTGAAGTAATCTTTTATCTCTGTGTGTTTCTAAAGTTATACCCAGGGCCACATCTGGGCTTGTCCACCCAGTGAAGGAGATGACTACATCTTCCACTGCCATCCTCCTGAGCAGAAGATCCCCAAACCTAAGAGGCTGCAGGAGTGGTACAGAAAGATGTTGGACAAAGCTTTTGCTGAGAGGATCTTGCATGATTACAAGGTAAATAGAAAAAAAAAATCGTAAAGGATATTTAGAAGCCTTGGCATGAATACTTTGTCTTAAATTATTTCTTACATGTGTTAAACATCTTTTCTTCAGGATATCTTCAAACAGGCGACTGAGGACCGACTGACCAGCGCCAATGAGCTGCCATACTTTGAAGGTGACTTCTGGCCTAATGTGTTGGAGGAGAGCATCAAGGAGCTGGAACAAGAGGAGGAGGAGAGGAAGAAGGAGGAGAACACCGCTGCTACTGAAACTCCAGAAGTAGGTTTTTTTTTTTTTTTATTATCATAGTTTACTGAGAGAGACGAATCTCCTAAACTGTTGTTTCTCAAAGAAACTCAAGAAAATATATATTTTTCATGCATTAATGGTGAAATATATCTAATGAACATGGATAATGTGGTATAAAGATGGTTACTTTGATGTCCTCCAGGGTACACCAAGTGACAGCAAAAATGCCAAGAAGAAGAACAACAAGAAGACTAATAAAAACAAGAGCAGCGTGAGCCGTGCAAACAAGAAGAAACCCGGGATGCCGAATGTAGCGAATGATCTATCCCAGAAGTTATACGCCACCATGGAAAAACACAAAGAGGTCAGATAGTTTGGGATCTTTAAAAATGTTCTGCTAAACTGAAATCAGTTGGAGAGTCACAGACTTTTTTTTTTCATTCAAGCGGAAAAAATAATAGATTTTTGAGAATTCTACCATTTGAGCCTCCAACACAGGTTACCCTGAATGCATGTCTCTCTGTGAAACATAGCAGTGGCAGCATCATGGTGTGGGTGCTTTAGCTGAGAAAGGGGAGGTAGGAGGTTGCTATCATGACAGAAAACCTGTTAGAGACTGAGGCAGAGGTTCACCTTTTAGCAGCTGTAACAGGACGGTTGAGATCAACACCTATTTTTGTATTTAACGGCTTCTGTCAAAGACCAGAACTAAAATCCAATTGTTATGCTCAAGAATGTTAAGTGGATCCATTAGAGACAAACATTTATTAGATTAATCTAAATGCCTGTAGAGATGTTTTTATTATACATGCTTATGAGATGGTTTTATATACATACTCAAGTTGTGATGCAAATACTTTATTAGCCGTTGTTCTCTTTGCATGCTTGGTATGATTACTGCAGAGCTGTTTCTGACAGGATGTACAGACAAACCAAAGCTTGTTTTATTTATTTAGTTTTTATACTATTATAATGAATGTGAATCTGCTTCTCCAGAAAGATATGAAAATTGTCCATTTGTTTCAGTAATTCAATTCATAACTGTAATCTAAGACTTGTGTCTATTAGACTTTAATATTAAAAATTAGTACAACCGTGACTTTCTGTTTGTTGGTTTGGTCTGAGAAATATTTAAAGGTATAGTGTAGGATTTTCTCAACTTTTTGAAAAATCAGCTCTCTCCACTTAAAAAAACAAAAACAAAACGCATGCACAACCCTGTACCCGCTCACCAGAGGGAACGCCTATTAAATGCCTGTGAGAGCATGCAGGAGCCCAGTTCTTCCTTGTGCACACTCTGTTTAAAAGTTGCTGTCGCCGATTTGCTATTTTTCAATGTTGCAGTTTTTTTCACTATGTCAGACTCACCACCGGTAAGTGAAAATGGGGTACGCTCGATTTGTTTTGCATGTGACACCTGTGACTCCTCCTAGGAGGAGGAGTCACAGGTGTCACATGATTGGATGACGTCAGCTGCAGGTCCTCTATGCAGTGGGCTGTATGCAAGGATTGTAATGGAAAGTTTAGTTGAAAGAAATTGATGTTGGATGTCGTCATTTCTCTTTAGTAAGAACGTGTGTTTGTTTTTTTTTGGGTTATGTCAGCATATGAACTAGCCCTTTTTTAAACTACAATGCTGAATTAAGCTTCCTTCATAAAATTCGAATGTATCTTCAAATTGGGGGGCATCTGGTAGATTTTCCAATGCTGTCAGCATGGTGCCATTAAACAGCACCTATCTATGTCCGTACTGTTTTTAGATTCCTCTAATATTCCCTTCTTTCTTTTCGGTCTTATATTTTTGCGACAGGTTTTCTTTGTGATTCATCTTCATTCGGGGCCCATGGCCAACACCCTCCCGCCCATCGTGGACCCTGACCCCCTGATCTCCTGTGACCTAATGGACGGCCGTGACGCCTTCCTCACTCTGGCGAGGGATAAACACTGGGAGTTCAGCTCCCTCAGGAGGTGCAAGTGGAGCACCATGTGCATGTTGGTGGAGCTGCACAACCAGGGACAAGATCGCTTCGTCTACACCTGCAATGAATGCAAACACCATGTGGAGACACGCTGGCACTGCACTGTTTGTGAGGTGGGTTACCCTTTTGGTTTTTCTGAGTTTCTTGTTTAAGAAAGAATAAAATCATCGGTTATAAGCAGACTTCAGCAAGATGCTAATTGCTCTCTTTCCTAATTTCTCTTTGTTTTAGGACTTTGATCTTTGCATTAGTTGCTATAACACGAAGGGCCACGAGCACCAGATGGTCAAGTGGGGTCTTGGCCTGGATGATGACAATAACGGCCAAAGTGGAGAAGCCTCCAAAAGCCCGCAGGAGAGCAGGCGTTTAAGCATTCAACGTTGCATCCAGTCTCTGGTCCATGCTTGTCAGTGCCGCAATGCCAACTGCTCTCTACCGTCCTGCCAGAAGATGAAGAGAGTGGTGCAGCACACCAAGGGCTGCAAGCGCAAAACCAACGGAGGCTGCCCGGTGTGCAAGCAGCTCATCGCTCTGTGCTGCTACCATGCAAAACACTGTCAGGAGAACAAGTGTCCGGTCCCGTTCTGCCTGAACATCAAGCACAAGCTGCGCCAGCAGCAGCTGCAGCACAGGCTTCAACAGGCCCAGCTAATGAGGAGAAGAATGGCCACGATGCAGGGCAGAACCATGCCCCTACCATCCCCACCAGCCTCTGCCGCTCCCAGCACTCCCACACCCCATACCCAACCCAACACTCCTCAGACGCCCCAGCAACCGCTGTCCAACCAGCCGCCAACGCCCAACTCGGCAGGCATCATGTCCCCCACTTTTCCCAGCACACCCCGTCCTGGGCCACCTCAAGCAAACGTCTCCCAGGGCAAACCTGGGCCCCAGGCCTCCCCCCTCCATCAGCAGCAGTCCCCTCTCCCCCAGCCACCTCAGCAGCGACAGCAGCAGGCTCCCCTTGCTGCAATCAAGATGGCACACCACATAGAGATGATGGCACAGGCCCAGCAGAACCAGCAGAACTACAGGGTCAACATGAACAACTTAAATGGCTTGCCTATGAACGCCCAGCAGGCCCAGCAACGCATGGCCGGACCGATGCAGATGGTGCAAGGACCCCGTGGGCCTCAGGTCATGCAGCCCGCCCCGGGACAGTGGCCTGCAGCAGGAGGTCAAATGTCGGCAGCTCAGAATCAACAACCAGGAGTCGTCCCAAACCAGAATCCACAGCAGGCTATGACGGTTCAGCGAGCCATGATGGCCCCTGGGCAACAAAGTCAGCAGGGTCAGAGGATGTTGATACCACAGCAACCTGGTCCTCGGCCACAAACTCCCCAAAGAACAGGTACTATCCCCCCAAATGCTCTTCAGGACCTTCTCCGTACTTTGAAGTCCCCAAGCTCACCTCAACAACAACAGCAGGTCCTCAATATCCTGAAGTCAAACCCTCAACTAATGGCAGCTTTCATCAAACAGCGAACAGCCAAGTATCATGCCAGCCAGCCGCAGCAGCAGGCCGGCCAGCAGCAGCAGCAACCGTCGCAGCAGCAGCCTGGCCTGCCAACAATGCAGACCATGGCTATGCCAGGAGGGCCGGTGCAGAGGGCTGCCATGCCTCCCCAGCAGCCTCAGCTGGGTCCAGGGCAGCTGATGAATGCGGCACACAGCACCAACCCACAGATCCAGGAGCTCTACCGTCGGCAGCTACTACGGCAACAGCAGCAGCAGCAGCAACAACAGCAGCAGCAGCAACCGCCGCAGCAGCAAGGAGTGATGCCACAGGGCCACCTGAGTCAGTTTGCAACCCAACAACAGGGGAACCCTGCTATGTACTCCCATCTTCGCATGCAGCAGCAACAGCAGCAGCAGATAACCATGCAGGCGGGGGGCGGAGCAGCTGGCGTGACCATGGGTCAGCTTCCACCAATGTCTCAGATGGCCCAGCCCGGGATGGGTATGGACTCCCCTCAGAACATCGTCCATCAACGGCTGGTTCAGCAGCAGGCGCAACTCCCCCAGCAGCAGCAGGCGGTCCTCAAGCAGCAGATGGGCTCCCCAGCCCACCCGAGCCCCATGAGCCCCCAGACGCACCTACTGACTGGCCAAGCTCAGGGTGCGGCCCACCTCCCAAACCAATCAGGATTGGCAAACGCCCTCAGCAACCAGGTTCGTTCCCCTGCGCCTGTCCAGTCCCCCTGCCCCCCGACGCAGCCACAGCCTCCACATTCCAGTCCTTCGCCGCAAGTCCTAAACCAACCGCAACCCTCCCCCCAACACCCGTCCCTGCCGCTCTCAGGTTCCCCCCACACGGTACTGGGCGGCCCACTGTCGCTGGACCAGGGACACTTGGGAACACCAGAGCAGAGCGCAATGCTTCCGCAGCTTAACACCCCCAACAGGGGAGCGCTGAGCAACGACTTGGGGTTAGTGGGAGATGCTACAGGGGACACACTGGAGAAGTTTGTGGAGGGATTGTAGCATATTTTTTTTTAAACTGGGAGGAAGAACTCTTTCTCTCACGGTTCCACATCCTCCACAGTCGTCCTCTCAGACTCTAGACCCCATTTGAGGGCTTTGTTTGTTCTTTCTAAAATAAAAAAAAACTGTCTTTTTGTACTGAAATGTAAAAATTTTCAATTGTGTGAGGGGAGGAAAAGTGGAATAAGATAAGACACGGTCAACAAAAAAACTAAAACTCTTCTTTGGAATGTAATAGTTTCCTGAACCTCAACCGTTGGGTTTTTCTTCCTTAAGATCTTGAGGGATTTGCAAGTTTCTTCTTAAAGTGAAATTAAATCGCAAAGAATATATTTTTGGTTGAGACCAAATGTGTTCAAGTACTCAGTTTATTTTCGTTTGTGGTATGGTTTCATGCCTTTTCTTTAATTTTTTTTCCTTTTTCTTTTTTTAAGAAAATGTACAATTGCATTATATCATTCATATCTTTATTTTGTACCTTTTGGAAAAAAAATGTAAAGCGTTTTTGTGTTAAAACTGTAAAATACTTTTGTCTGGGAATGGGGACAGGTTTGTTTTCTCTTGGCGAGCTGTCAGCCATGACAGTTCTAATCTAGTATTGTACCATTTCTGCCAGACGATGCGTTCAGGGACATCAACAGCTCCCTTTGTTTTGTTTTTCTTTGTGTGTGTGTTTATGAAGAGCACTCTGTCATATTACAGTAGGAACTGGCCTGCAGCAGGTTTTGTACGCAGGTGCACATGAAGACACTGACCCTCACAGTCACTATTAGGAACACTGCTTCGACTGGTTTTCACCAAGGACTGCAAAAATCTCAATATGGAAAATTTCTTCTGCTGGTGTAGAAAGTTGTTGACTTTCAAAAGAAAATTTGTCATGCCTTTTTTTTTTCTTTTTTGTCATACAAATGTAAAGTGTAAAGAGAGCGTGAGAAAGAGACCAGCCCCCTAAGCTGAGGTGGAATGATAATGGGTTGTTTATAGAAAACGATCTCAAATGATTCCTAAAAGCCCCAACGTTTTTACACTAAGGTTGTGTGCTTTCAAAGGGTGAAGGGTAACATTTGAGATTTACCGTAAGGAGAACTAATTGTCATCGACCTTCATTCCTCTCACAAACACTTGAATTTGGGGGGGATTTACTTTTTCTCCTATTGTAAATCAAGCTATTAAGCAAAATACTATAAATATAAGCAAGAGAGAATGAAATCACTGTATAAACTAGTAAAAGATTCATTTCTTACTTATATACCATATTGTTAAATAAACTGTGTGCAACAGAAGAAAGCCAGTACTCTGTTGACTGAATGAGGCAATACTTCACTCTTGTGTCTTTCATTTCACCAGAACTCTTCTGTCCGAAGCAGCATCTTCAGTTACAGGCCTGTTATTATGGAGCGTTTTTTCTATCATAGTTTATTATATTTAAATACTCCAGTTCTCCTTATCTAGAGCAAAATTAATGAGCATTCATTGCTGTTTAAGAAGTTGGTACAAAATTTTCAAATTTCCATATTCATGCTTTTTTTTTTATAACATAGTTGGATAAACAGAACAACATATATCTTATTTACCTTTTTATGTATAGATAATATATTGTGGCATCTAAAACCTCTTTTGTTCCACTAAACCTCTCAAAATGTTTTGTTCCATTCATTTTAACAGTCAACCTCTTTTTGACATTTGTAGAGTATTATTAAATATATACCATTTTTTAAGGGAATTTAAGTGATTGAGATTACCAGCAGAGGAAGGTAAAATGCATCATGCTATTGCCAAAAAAACTCCTTATCCTAAGATGAGTCCAGGAATGTAGAGCTTTGTCAAGAGAATGAGAATTCAGAATTCCCATCTGCATCCTGTCCTTTTATTCAGACGTCAAATAACTATATAGCACATTTAAGAACTGCTGTCAGCCCAAGTGCTGCACACAAAAAGAAATAATAAAACAAAATAAAAACACTACAAGATAATGTGGGGAAAAACTATTAAAATCTAAAGAGCACAAATGTGTTTTAATATTTAAAAACATCAAGAATTGAAGCCTGTCTTATATGAAGGGGCAGCTAAAAAAGCCTGATCACTTCTGCAGACCAGCCTGGACCTTCGGAAATGGAACGGACATTAGATCTAAGATCGAGAGGGAACGTAAGCCTGCAAGAGAACAATTGTGCAGGGGCCTGCCTGCTTGGGGCCTTCTAGGTGATCAATACAACTTAAAAATCAATTTTAAAACTTAACAGGGAGCCAATGAATAGAAGCAAGCACTGGTCAGATATGATCATGCTTTTTTGTTTCTGTCAAAAGGCTAATTGTATAAAAATGCAGTGTCTTTTTTTTTTCTTCTTTTTTTTTTAGGATTCCCATATAGAAAGATGCAGAAATATCTTGCAAATATTTTTAACAGTTAAGAAACTTTGATATTAAATTTTCTTTTGGAATTCTGTTAGGGTTAAAAAAAACAAACTGAATACCTGCAGCTGATTAGGTCTGCTGTTAAAACAGAGTAATGACATCGTGGAGAGCTGTTATACCAAGTGGACTAATCATGGCTCCACCACGAGAGGGTCATTAATCTTCTTAAGAATTATGAATAACATTTATAAAGATGACCTCTGAAGAAAACGTCAGCTAAAGGCACTAGTTAGATGGCTGTCATTCAGTACAATTGAATTGAAATACACAAGTTTACATCATTTTGGATGCAGCATCCATCCAACATCCATCTATCATCATCCAACCATCAACCATGTTCCATCTGTCATCCATCCAACCATCCATCTGTCATCCATCCAACATCCATCTATCATCATCCATCCATCCACCCACCCATCCATCTATCATTATCCAACCATCCTTCTATCATCAACTATCTACCCATCCATCCATCCATCCATCCATCCATCCATCCATCCATCCATCCATCCATCCATCCATCCATCCATCATTATCCATCCATCCATCTATCATCATCCATCCACCATCCATCATGTTGACCACTTGTGCTCCAGAAAAGCCCCCAAACTGTATTTTTTTATTCGGACTTGAAATCCTACATAAGTTCTTGCAGCTTTCTTCTTTTTTTTTTCTTTAATATTGCTGTTCCTTGTTATATATTTAAACATTGCTTGGGGTTTAGTTCAGTTACCGTGTGATCTAAATCTAAGCATGTAAATATAGTAAAGATAACTGGGTCTAATTTTCAGCTGTTGTCCTTTGCAGTTGGTTTATAAATGCACCGTAATTAAACTTACAAAAATAATCCCCCAGCACCCATATGAAGTGCCTTTTTCTGATGTTAAGCTTCTTACATCAGGTAAAATGCTATACAGCCATCTTATTCAAAAGCAACCATTTCAAATTATCCTTTCTCCCAAACCCGCCCTAATAAATCTTAATTGCTTTTGCTGGTTTGTTGGGAAGAGTTATTATTACTTTGCCTTTTTACTGTCCAGGTATCCAGAGAAAGTTTTTAATAACTCTACAAAATATGTTTATTTTTTTTAAAGAGGTGCAGCAAGAATTACACATCTTTAGAAAGGACTTTAGAAATGTCCTTGCCAATGAAATTCCTACAAATGGGGGTCGGTAGTCAGTAGTTTTTACCCTTAATGCAAACAAGCTGTTTCTGTTCCACTGCCTATACTTTTAGTTTTTTTTTTTTACCTTTTAAATTTTCTGGCTTAAAAAATAAGAGAAAACGGATTTATGTTAAAAGTTTGGCAAATTTTTCTGAATTAAAAGAATATAAATTTTGTGATAAAACAGAGAAGGATGGTACTTTTTTTTTTTTTTGTTGCATTTTTTTATTTATTGAAACAATCAAATTTCCTTTCTTCATAGACAAAAATAAATAAAATGTGAATACAAGTATATGCAATTAAAGCCTAACAGCCATCAGAAGTGAGCCCGCACACATCCTAAACTTCAGCTGCAGACACCTCTTTAATGTTCATTTATGTTCAGGATAGAACTGAAAGAGTGGTCTGTTTTTTCATCCAGTGTTTATATGCCCATCCTCGAAATGCTGCCCTGGGCAACTGCCCATATGAAGTGTATGAAAACAAAACCTAACTTTCATTGTATAGCAGAAAAAATCTCTAATTTCTACCTTATTGTGTGATTTTATACAGCATTGCTTGGAGGCCTGTGGTAAATCTGAACATCTTTTTTCCAGAGGAAGAAATATTCTAATTTAAGCAAATTAATTTTAAAAAGTGTAAATAACCTTAACATTCATATACAGAGCAACACACTCCCAAATCAATGGTTCTTGAACAAAAGGAGCAGAAAGACGAACAATCTTATGATTTTTCTCAATTATCCCAATTTACTGGAAGTACATATTGTTCTATAAGTATTTTAACGATTCACAAAGTAGTATCTTCATTATGTCCATGAAATCTAACTTTCATACATGTCTAACATTGTAGATTTTATGTTTTTTCTAAAATATTGTTTTAATGTCATCATTGTTTTCAACTCTTTAATTCCTTAATAATGTCCTCTGATTAAAAGTAATCATAGGCAATTTTAAAAAATTCAAAAATATGTAAATAAAATCTGGGAAAGCCATTAATTCAGTAAAGCATAAATAACAGTGTAGCTGCTGAGTATGGAGGACAAACTCTACCATATTTAAAAATAAATACAGAAATAAAAAAATGCTCAATAATAAATAAGAAGACTTTTTTTTATTGAATTTTGACTTTTTTCCCATATTAAACTGAGATATTATTCAAAAATCAGTTAACTTTTTTTAAATTTTGGGGGTTTTTTTTAGTGGCCCTTATCCTCTTCCATAAGAGTTTGAAAGCCGAATGATTATGTTATATTTATTATATCCCAGTATACGTGATCCTGCGTGACATCATCGAGGTGCTCATCTTCGGGGCGCTATTGGCTTGTTGGTCGTCATGTGACCGGAAGTTAAAAATGGAGCGGTTTGAGTAAAATGTTTTGAAAAATAAACAAACCAATAGGTTTTTAATCTATTCGTTTATTCTATTACAGAGTAATGTTGCTTAAAAATAAGAAGCCACATTTTTAACTCGGCAGCTGTTGAAGACATGGGTTAATTAATGGAGCTAACAATGGTAAGTTTATGATTAGCGCTAACAGCTAGCTTATCTATTGCTACTCTTTAGGTTTGTTTTAAGGACCTTATTTTCCCTTCTTTCTTAGTTTATGAAACTCGTAACGTAGCTTCCCTGGCAGTCTTGATGGAAAAATACTCCCTCGCCACCTTTAACGTAAGACTAAGGACGTCGCCATGGACGACTCTGAGCTGGACTTTGTTGATGTCGCCTCCAAACTGCTAAAACGTGTCCGAAAAAAAGCGGCTGATCCAGGCAGACAGAGCAGGAAGGCAGAACAACAGAACCAAGCAACCCGGGGGGGAAAGAGGAATTTCGCTAAGCAGGATGAAGCCTCTGGATCCAGGTCAGCCTCCCAGCCTGCGGAACCAGAGATGGTCTGTGGAGGAACTGGATGCAGATCAGAGGATGCTGCTGCTGAGCCTCCAGCTGATGGAGACCTGAGGGCAAAAGACAAAGTGCTGCTCAGGATGCAAGGATTTAAAAGAGCTTCTCCTCAGAGGATAAAACACAGCAGTAGGACTGGTCCTCTAATCCAGGATGGCAGGATTCAGGCTGCGGGACATCAGGAAGCAGGTAGAAAAGTGCAAACATATTCATATTTATTCAACTGTTTGTTTTTATGTTAAATTCAAGACCAACACTAAAACGGCTTTCATGTTGTGATGTGTAATGTTATTCAAATATAAGTCTGAAAGGTGAGTTATATGCAGCAACCCTAGGTCAGAGCTTTACAAATCTGTAAATCATCATGCTGAACAGGGACCCTCTGCCTCAGCCTAAAGTCTTTTGCAGCTTCTCAATTATTTTATTGGGATATTCCTAAATTTTTCTCCCTTCTTGCTTTTTGTTGATGCTGAAGAGAAAAAACCCCTACAGGATGATGCTGCCACCACTATGGTTAACTGTGGGAATTGTGTTTTAGATGTTACCCCCTCCTTTGAAATTAAACAAAGGGTTTTACTTTAGTCTCATCTGATCGGAGCATCTTCATCCACATATTGTTGACAAACATGCATTTCTGAAAAAAAAAGGCCTTTTTCCTGTCTCTGTTGCAGCCACTGTTCATTTAACACTACTAATAGTTGTTCCTTCTGATTTCTGGATCCCAATAGCTTACCAATAGTTACTATGGGCCTCCTAGCTGCTTTAGCGGTTCATGTCTTTCTCACCTAATCTGTCAGTTTATTAGGACAACTGTTTTTTTTTAATAAGCTTCCAGTTGTGGCAGATCCTGTTTTCAGATGATAGAGTGGAAAGTGTTTGGTACGGTATATTGTTTAAATAAACTGATCCTGTAGCTCTGAAATAGTTAATTGGATAAATCGCTTTGTGGAAACATTTCAATTGATTTAGTGATTGATTAATGCTTAACTTGAGTATATTGTCATGTTGATAAAGAAAAAAACAATGAGAGTAGTAACTAAGACAAAACAGTGAAATTTCCTCCTTAAGGTGCACATTAAGATGAGGTTTAAAGAAATGAGGAACAACAGAGAAGAATTAATTGACTGTAGAATGAAAGCTTTCAGAGCAGGTTCCACCACAAACATGCTTAGATGTGTCAGACCCATCAACCCTGCAGGGCAGAGAAGAGGTTGGTTCCAGTTCTGGTTCTGTTCTGTGGATTTGATCATATTTCTACTGGGAATTGAGCCAGAAAGGGCTGATCTTTTGATCATTGGATGTTAGAATTTTACTACAAATATACACTAACATGTTTTAAATGATACATTTTTGATTTTTGAAAAAAAAAAAAAGGGAAAAAATTATTGTTTACATGGCTTTTCTATCCACAGATTGAGATTTTTTTTTTCAATTGTCAGATCAATAAAATACTTAATGACTGAAATGACTAACAGCTGCAGCCCTAGTCTGCATTCAATAACTTGTTGACTTATTGAAGATATGGTTTTATTTTTGGGAGTATCTCAAAAAATAGTGCATTTGCGAAATACAAAAACAGTAGTGAGATTTTCATTTTATTTTTGAATCCTCAGATAAGCCAACGTCCTCCTGCTCTGGTTCGCATTCCTCCGACCGCGCAGAGACCGATGAGGCTCTGGCCCTGCGACTACAGCAGGAGCTGGACAGGGAGGCGGCAGAGGCTCAGGCTGTGGACCTTGAAGATGGAGGCCTTTTCTTCTGTCAGATTTGCCACAGAGACTTATCGCATATGACCGCCGAGGGGCGAACACAACACCTCAACAGGTCAGCAAATTTCTAACTTGATTTAACAGAGAACCTGTGTTTATAAAAAAAAAAGGAATAAACAACAAGATGTTGATTGATGGTCTGAGATCCACATACACTATCAGCATTATTGTCAAATAATCGTTGGTGTTTTTAAACCTTAAAAAGCAAACTACTACAGTTTTTTCTTTCTGTTGATTCATTGTTTAGTGTTATTTTAAGATTTTTAAAAGTTCTCCATTCTTTATCTGGTCAAAATGTCTGCAGAATGGCACAAAAAATTACCATTTTTTTTAACAGTTTAACATCTTGGAAATGGTTATTTGGTATTACTCTCAATTTGGGTTTTGTTCCTGTACTACCAGCGACAGACAAGTCCCACTGCCACTGACCAGCTTTAAAGCTTGTCACAGTTTTTTTTTCAAATAAAAGAAAAACATTTCAATTAATCATCTCAACATCCCTTTGTGATGAGGGTCAAAAAGCTCAAATCTTTTGTTCTCTGAGCATTCAAATTTTGGCTTGTACATATGGGCAGCTGATAATTTCAATGGAACTTTAAGCTTTTTAATGTTGTTTGTTTTTGTTTTGTAAACAAATTAGGATTTCTAGTGAAAAAAAAATAAAAAATTAGTTTTGAATGGATAAGCAGCCGAACTATGCTTCTTAAAAAAGACCCCAGCCTCAACTCTCATACAAATATACAAGATGCTGCTCTGTTTGCCTCATTTGTTAATAATTCATGTTTTTAAACTTATTGTTGTTGACAATTGTTGAACGTTTGAGCCTTTTAATGCTCCACACACGAAAGTGTGATCTGCTCATTTTATTAATCTCCACCAATTCTCATACAAAGAGCATCTAAACAGCCAAACAGAACGATAACAGATGCCTTTTCACTGGGAACTGTATCCAGGCTTCATGAAGCGTTTGTTTTATTTGTAGGTGTTTGGATCAGAATGAACAGAGTGCTCCCTCTGCCCCCCCACCCTCTGCTGTCCCAGACTGTCCCATCTGCGGCAAGAAGTTCAAGACCCAGAAGAGCCGCTCGGCCCACCTGAAGCGCTGCTCTGCAGACATGGGCGTCTCTCCAGCTGTTCTGCTGCAGGCTCTGCAGAGACAGGCTGAGGAGAGTCGGATCTCCTCCGCCGCCAACACACAGTGAGAGCGTCTTAGTGGGAGATACAGTATGAAAGCTGGAACCTTTCAGCATGAAGAACCTTCACTCCATTCAACAACTGTTTTCCTCTGTAGGGCACAACCTGCGGGCAGCAAAAGGAAAGGTCCCTCCAAGGCGGAGCTTCCAGCACGGAAGAAGCCTAGAAAGAAGAACGAACCGGTGGATGAGGAGACTATGGTGGCTCTGGCTCTGTCCTCCTCCCTGCTGGAGCAGCAGACGAAGCTGCAGGCGGAGAGCGGTCCGCCTCACAGCTCCATGACCCCAGTGCTGAAATGGAAGCCAGATGCTGGTACGGTGACATCTCTAATATTTCTTTTTTTCCTTAAGAATAGTTTGTTTTTTTGTGATGAGTTTTTTTTTTCTTTTTTTGATGGTTTTTTTGTTTTAGGGGAATAAAAACCCAAAAGGGGCCCTGTTGGGGCTGAAGGTAGTAGAGTTTGAAGGCCCTGAGAATTTTCAATATTCATCTACTGCCTCTGACGCATCATAAATTAATCAATTATCTACTATCAAATCAGACAAGAACCAAATG